CAGGTGGGACAAGGGGCAAGGGGGACAGAGGGGGACAAGGGGCTGTGCAATGGGGACAAAGTGGGACAAGGGGCTGTGCAATAGGGACAGGTGGGACAACGGGCAATGGGGACAGGGGGGACAAGGAGCAATAGGGACAGAGGGGGACAAGGGGCTGTGCAATGGGGACAGGTAGGGACAAGGGGACGGGGTGGGACAAGGGGCTGTGCAATGGGGATGGGGACAAGGGGTTGTGCAATGGGGACAAAGTGGGACAAGGGGCTGTGCAATGGGCACGGGTGGGACAAGGGGACAGCCGAGGAGCTTCCAGCCCACGCGGGGCAATCGGGGCCCACAAGGACAGCACAAGACGCCCAGTCCCAACAGTGGCATCCCCGGGGCTGCAGGCAGGACACTGATGTCCCCAACAAGGACAGGACCAAGGCCGCCCCCGGTACCTGTTCTCCTCGGGGATGTGCAGGGCCATCATGACGAGCGGCTCGGCGCACTCCACGGCCCAGCCCAGGCGCTCGCTGACCCGGGCCATGTCCACGGCCAGGAACTCGTTGGGCATCCGGCTCCAGGTGACGGGCGTCAGGAGCTGGATGAGGAGCCGCGGGGGACACTGCGGCTCCGGGTTCCTGCGCTCGCTGTGGAACATCGCGGCCGAGATGGGCATGATGTTCTATGGGGAGAAGGGAGCGGGGTGAGACCGAGGGGCCCAGGCGTCCGGGGGGCTCCCGGCCGCCCCGCGCGCCCACCTTGAGCTTGCCCAGCTCGAACTGCACCACGTTCTGGCTCGTGGGGAGGACGAAGACGGCCGGGAAGAGCTTGGTGTTGGGTTCCACCTGGGGGGACGGAGGTGGCACCGTGGGGACAATGGGGGCAATGGGGGACGGGGACAATGGAGAATGGGGACAATGGGGACAATGGGGACAGTGGGGACAGTGGGGAATGGGGGCAGTGGGGACAATGGGGAATGGGGGCAGTGGGAGACAGGGCACACCAGGGGATGGGGACAATGGGGGACATGGACAACAGGGGATGGGGACAAGGGACCCCCCAGAGGGGACAGGGGACAACGTGGGATGGGGACAACGGGGGACGGGAGACAATGGGGAATGGGGGCAATGGGGGACGGGGGACAAGAGGGGACGGGGGACAATGGAGAATGGGGACAATGGGGGATGGGGGACAAGAGGGATGGGGACAATGGGGGGCGGGGAC